GGAGGCAAGCGTGAGAGAGAAGTATCAGATAGCCCCGGGAGGAAATTTTTCTGTAAGAGACAGAGTCTCTGATTTGTATCTGCTTTTTTACTTCAGAAAACCTAGGGGATTTCCCCCCCAATTCATCGAAGAATGGGAAATTGTCTTAAGAACATTCCAGATGTGCACACGGGGAGGTTTACCAGAGGTCAAATGGGAGCGTGGCCTGCGCTCTCCATGTGGCTGGTATACATGGTAGGTTTAGAATTAATCTGAAAATAAATTTGAGCGAAAGTTTCAAAATCAAGAGACTTTACATTAAAACATGGGATTTCTGGCTTGTAGGAAGAAGGGGAAATTTCTGGTAGCACTGGGTCCTCATTCCCTCATGGCAACAATTGGCTGGAGGGGAGGAGCTGCCTGAATTGGGTATGGCCAGTGGGATGGAGCGCAGTCCCCCGCACGCCTGCGTGGCCCCCGGGCCATTGGAATCGCCTCCCACCCCTCCCCGCAACGGTGGGAGCAGGAGAGAAGGCGCATCGGCTCCTCTCCAGCTTCATCTCATCCCCTTCTCCTCGGCTCGGTCCGCTGCAGCCCTTTTCTTCCGTTTCTTTAAACACGCCATGATACTGGAGGTTCCCTCCACCTTCCCCCGCCCCGGGGCTGGGACCAGGGCCTCGGAGCGAGGGGCGCAGAGCCAGGAGAGCGTGAGGAGGCCCGGGCCCTGCTGCCCTTCCACCGCCTGGTACCTTCCGCGCTTTGACCAAATCTCGGCGGAAACGCGACTTCAGAGCCCATGCCAGGGGGGAGATTTCGTCAAAGCCCCTTCAGATCGGCTCCTGTAGCAAGTGAAACTGGTATTCGCTTTAAGTCAGAGAGTTTAAATGTCCTTTTAAAAGGTATTTATTCTACTTTTTAAAAACAGATTTTTTTTTTAATTGAGAAATTACTAGTTCTGTTGGTATTCCGGCAAAGTATTACCAAGATGGACTTGAATGGCTTGGGTCTGGGAACCCTACCATGATCCTTGGGCGCCCCCTGCAGGCCCTGCACAAACTACCACCTGCTAATAGCGTGGGTTCCTCAGCCCCTCGCTCCTCGTGGCCTGCGTGGAAGGGTAATGCCATCCAGGTTTCCCTTTTAAGTCTTAGACTCAGGAGCCCCGAGCAGATGTGGCCGGTTTTGGAGGGTGCTCAGCACGTACTGCTATGGAATGAGCTCATTATCGCCTTGTGACAGAATCTAAATTAAGCTGGGACACGTCTGGACAATTTTGTAGCTTACATATCAATTCAAATAGAGGTTTCTTCCCCCCTTAATTTTCCAGTTAACATACTTACCATTTCTTTCATTGTATCTTCTTCATGGAATGTTCATGCTGGTAGTTACACAGTCTTTTATTATTATTTTATGTGTTCTTGTTATAGCGATTAATAACATCTCACCTTCTATCATACTGTATAATTTACTTTTATGTTTTAAGTCTGGTCTGTCTCCTATCGCTAGAACCTAAGCTGCATGAGGACAAGGAATTTTGTCTCTTTGTTTCGGTGCTGCAGCCCCACACCCTCGCACCCACCCTTCACGATCCAGTCAACATGTCACCAATGTCAGAGGCTTCGTTGACTATTCCAGCCAGACACAGCTCTTCCTCCCTGGGACCCCTCAGCACTGGCCCCAGGACTGCGGCTCCAGGTGCTACGAGTAGTAGTGACATATGTGCGTCAACTGTAAGCTCCTCGATGTGCGGCATCTTGTCGAATTCACCTTTTTTTTCTTTTGCAAGAACATCTACAGATTTCAAACAAGCAATGCACTCACAAACCTCCTCATTTAGATCTGTCAGAACAGCAGCCTGGGGAGTGACAAGTTCACATCCCTGGAGGGCCTGGCAGGTCAGCAAAGGGATGAGGCAGGTGGGGACGTGCAGAGGCCCCGGGGAGGGCCTGCTGGCTAACCGGGCCCAATCAGCATCAGCAGCCGCTGTCAGGCAGGAATGTAGGCTTAAGGTCACCAGGACTCTGATCTTACAAGCTCAGGCAAAACAAAAATTCTGGTATTGTCGACTGAAATCTCCTAATTTTCACGTTGGTTCAATTACAGAAAAATACTGTGTGGGTCAAAAAAACTCATATCTTGAATCCAGTCAGTGGGTGGCGAGTGTTTGACTTGGTGTAGGAGAAACGTGTTCATTCACCCTCAGTAGGGACGGTATTTTCAAGGGGTTATTGGTGATTTTCCTTACTGACCTGGAGTCTCCAGTTCGTTTCCATTTGCACCCCTCTTCTTTCTTTTGCTGGTCCAAACAGGTAGGGACAGCTCCCAGCCAGAGAAGAAACCAGAAGCAAAGGTTGGATGCTCAAAATTAAGGAATGAGAAGTTGCTCTGCACAAGACCTGAAAGTCCCCATTTGTACTTGCAGGACTGGTTTTCCTGCTAGGAAAGAGACTGGCTCGAATGACCCCATGGGCTGGGGAGGGGAGGAGGCTAGGGATGGGGGGTGAGAAGGAGGACCTCGGAATCTGAGGGTGCCAATTTAGCACCAAGGTTGCGGGGGGGGGGGGGGGGGGGGGGGGC